CTCTCTATCTCCATCGCGCGTTCTCTGTCTCTCTATCTCAATCGCACGCTCTCTCTCTCTCTCTCTCAATCGCGCTCTCTCTCTCTCTCTCAATCGCGCGCGCTCTCTCTCTATCTCAATCGCGCTCTCCATTTCCAATGAAATACCACAATATTCAAAAATAAACTTTTGAATTTTGTGTCATTTCACTAAATATTGAAAATAGTATAATACCGAAATCATATTTTAAAAATAGTTACCCACTGTTCAGAAAAATTAGGAAATTTTTGTTTTTCCATCAAGTCATATTTCATTAAAAAATATTCAGGTTTTCATTCAATTTCCTACAATAATAGGTGGGAATTTTCAGTATTTCCAATTGATTGATTTAAAATTTTTTGTGCAACATTTGAAAAAGCAGAACGTTGAAAACATAAATTTAAATTTTACAAAACCTCTCACAAATGTCCGGAAGTTTCTTCATTCTCAATATTTTTCAATGTTTATATCATGTATGTTGGCCACACAAAATATGTTATCAAAACTCCATTCAAAGAACACTTTATTTACTTTCTAAAGTCTCGAAATGCAAAGAGTGGCGTTGTACTCAGCTGCTGCTAGGTTGACTTTTCAAATTTTTCACATTCAATGTTTCATTATATCTTTCCCTTTGCTTGTCGAAATCGTTTCACATTTTTTACAGCAAATCAAGTGAATCTCTGATTCAGAGTGACAGCGGACCTCCCCCACTCGTTACCAGCCTTAAAAACAAAACAAAAATTTTGGAAGACAACCCGACATCCATCCCACCCCTCCCGAAGACCCCCGCAGCCTCCATCCTCATCTTTACGTCTTCTCCTCCTTATCCTTGTTGTACTTCTCGAGCTCCCTGAGAAAGACCGCCTTCGACTTCATTATGTTCGGCCTGTCGCCGCGACACTTCGGACAGAACCACTTGCCTTTCGGCTTCACCTGCAGCGACACACACGAGAAGTGGAACCATTCGATCGGGCAGAGGTCGTTGTCGCACATGATCATCTCCCCGTACGATATCTGGTCGCAGAGGCAGTACGTCGGCTCGTCTGGGTCGATGACCTGTTCCTCCTCGCGGGGCGGAGATTCTTCCTTCGGTGCCTGCTGCGACGACTGGGCAGTTTGGCGTGTCTTGCGTTTCTTTTTCTTGCCTGGAGAAAGAATAAACAGATAATGAGAGTGAAGAAAATGATGAAATGTAATATTGAATTCTCTCTACTACAGAGATTAAAAGTGTCTAGAACAAACCCAACTTCTAATCAAATCTCTCTCTCTCTCTCTCTCATCTCAATATCTCTCTCTCTCTCATCTCAATATCTCTCTCTCTCTCATCTCAATATCTCTCTCTCTCTCACTCTCTCTCTCTCATCTCTCTCTCTCATCTCAATCTCTCTCTCATCTCAATCTCTCTCATCTCAATCTCTCTCTCTCTCTCATCTCTCTCTCTCATCTCAATCTCTCTCTCATCTCAATCTCTCTCTCATCTCAATCTCTCTCGCTCTCTCTCTCTCTCTATCTCAATCTCTCTCTATCTTGGTATCTCTCTAGATCTCTATCTCAATCTCTCTCTATCTTGGTATCTCTCTAGATCTCTCTCTCTCTCTCTCTCTATCTTGGTATCTCTCTATATTGGTCTCTATATCTTGGTCTCTCTATATCTTGGTCTCTATATTGGTATCTCTCTATCTCTCGTGGTATCTCTCTCTTAGCCTATCTTGGTATCTCTTTTTCTTGGCCTCTCTATCTTGGCCTCCCTCTCTCCACCTTAGTCTAACTCCATCTAGGTCTCTCTATCTTGGTGTCTCTCTCTCTATCTTGGCATCTCTCTCCATTTAAGTATCTCTATCTTGGTATCTCTCTATCTTGACTCTCTATCTTTCTCTTGATATAACTCTTCCTGTCTCTAACGAGCGAGCTAATAATTAACGAGGTCTTACCCTTCAACGTGCGACTCCTAGCACGGACTCGTATTGATAACTTGCCCGCTAATAAATAAATCAATAAATATATACTCACTGGTGGAAGACTTCTTCTGCGATCCACTGCCTGCGGCCGAAGTAGTCGGCCTCGACTCCTGGCTCCTCAGCGAGTGTTCCGTGGCTGCTGCCGCGGCAGCGGCCGCAGCAGCCGCCTCCGCGGCGCTCGAGCTCTCGGCCGTGTCGTGCCTGGTCCGCCGGGACCGTTTGGAGGGCCTCTCTCCTGTCGAAGCGACCGCTCCGCCGCCGTTGCCGTTGTTGACAGCCGAAGAGGGCGTAGATGGGGCCAGCGTAGCGGAGGGGTCCCTCGATTCGGTGGGGGACGGTTCTTCCTTGCCAAAATCTGAAGTGACAGGAAAAGTTACTAGTGATGGGTTGATAATACTAACATTAATGTTTATTTTTCGTTTAGACGCGACTGAACACGTTCAAAAGTTCGTTCCAAAATTGCTGGATTTTGAGTAAGAATAAATATAGTTTAAAAAACACGCTTATAAAGAACTACGATCTAAAAAGTTGAAAATATTTTTTTTTTAATAAGCCTGAAACAATAACGAACGAAAAATACTAATATTATTGTAAAAAAAACGACGGGCTCTTGAAAGATTAATGAAAAAAAGACTAATGTCCTTCTTATTGATGAACAATGTGCTATCTAGCCTTCAGTTCGGTTTTCAAAGTTCGAAAAATACCACAGATTCTATCTAGCCTTCAGTTCGGTTTTCAAAGTTCGAAAATTACCACAGATGCCATTTTTTCCTTTCTAGAAAATGCATACTCTAGCATAAATGATATCATGGCTGTTGCAGCAGTGTTCTGTGATTTTTCGAAAGCTTTCGATTGCGTTGATCATAAGACACTGCTGCGGAAGCTCAGCCATTATGGGATAAGAGGAACAATTTGAATTGTTTGGTTCATATTTGACAGGACGTCGACAGGTGGTGAAAACATCAAGTGGACAGTCTGATCTCAGTGACATAAAACATAGAGTACCTCAGGGGTCTGTTTTAGGGCCAGTGTTGTTTTTAATATACTTAAATGACCTAATAACCATTAACATCGCAGGACAATTTACTGTATTTGCCGACGATACCACTACTATATGGAGTAATGAAGAAATTAATCAGCTATCAAATACTATAAAAATAGATATTCAACAAATTCAAGCCTGGTGTAACGCAAACTCCTTGTGCTTCAACCTAAACAAAACAAAACTAGTTACTTTCAAATGTATACTAGACGATTTAGATTTGGATAATAACTACATAGAAAACAAACAGCACACTAAATCCCTAGACATTCACATAGACAATAAATTAAATTTTAAAGAACATGTATCCCATCTGAGTAAAGAAGTATCTAGTGGATGTTATGCTATTATAGTGATATCAAATGAACTGGGGTACCCTACAGCTAGAATGGCTTACTTTGCACTGATCAAATCTCATATTCGCTATGGATAAGCTTTCTGGGGCCATTGTAGTTAACAATTACAGAATACGATATTTAAGCTACAGAAGAGGTCTTTGAGATACCTTACAAAGTCTAAGCCGAGAGATCACTGCAAGCCTTTATTCATCAGCCACAAAATATTAACTGTCACCTGTTTATACATAATCGAAACAGTATGCTTAATTCATAAAAATAAAACTAGCATGTACACTCCCGATTGATATACATCATGGCTTGCCAGGATGGTGTCTTCAACACCTTAGTCTACCGCAGTCGCGTGATGACACAAGGTGCAGGGCCTGCCCGAGACCCTAATGCACTTGCTATCAGCATGTCCAGCATATGCGGTCTCGGCCTATATCCATCGACATAACGCGGCCCTAAGAGTGCTATATTACCATCTACGACACTCTTACGGTATTGACGAGACACCAGTGTTGCCCTACGCTCCGGGGGATATTGAATCCGTTGTGGGGAACGAGAAGTGCCGAATTTATTGGAACTATTCGTTCCCCACCCTCAGGCTCATACAAGCTAATAAGCCTGATGTGGTTCTCCTCGACCACCAGAGCAAAACGAGTACATTAGAACTTAAGGACGTTTATTCCACAGTTCACGCGCTCTGGGACTCGTTATGTTATCACAGTTGTGAGTGTTTGTAATGATGTAATGAGTCATATAAACTCGTCCTATTGCTTCTTAGCCACCTATTTGGACATCACAAGATAAAGACCTCATTCATTCATAACATTACGACTTAATATCACAAATGATTTCGTGTCATCACTGGCAGTACGTAAAAACTTTCATTCGCTGATTTGATTTAATCCCAGCCAAGGGAATCTTGTTAAAATTGAAAGATGTACATTTTTATTTCGCTACAATTGAACCAGTTCAAATGAGTTGAACAAATTTTTGTTTGGAAGTTTTAAAACTATGATATTCAAAAACCAAGGTATACTTAATGTATCTACCATGTGTATCTTCTTATTCATGAATAGACAAAAAACTCACGACTATTAAACCATCTTGCTTTCAACAGTTTCTTCATCCGTTCTTCTAACACCAATTTTATCAAATTCTATTCTTACCATAATTAACACAAATGCTTTGATGAAATATCCACAACTTTGTAACAAATAACAAAATACTTTAATGTTATAGAAAACACATTCTTTCTATCTCAAAAAAAAACTTACAGTCCAATAAAAACATCTCTATCTGCCCTACACTCTACAAAAAAAGTTAGGTACCTTTATTCTCCTGATCCTTAAAGAAGCACTCAAAATTATTGAAGAAAATACATATTGATATTGAATAACATCTGCTTAATCCTGCATTTCTCATTTTTGAGTAAAATCGGCTTTGATATGTTTGGTGTCAATTGAAACAGAGAAATGTAGAAATTAGAAGATATAATAATAATAATATTACTGTATTTTCCTAGTGACATGTAGAAACATATAGATTTTGTCAAAAAACAGTAGCCAATTCACAAAAAAAAAATGAACCAAAACTATGACCAGAACTAAAACTTTTCCAAGGAGTGAAATCCATCTTTTAACAGGTACTTTCTATGACATTGTTTGAATGCTTGCTTTCAATGCTACATTATTTAATTTCGTCCGAAAGTTTATTGATCAACCTTTGCCCAGTCACAGTGGGTGACCAACACGAAAGATTAGTCCTTGAAATTGGTAGATGTAAGTCGCTCCTCTGTTTTGTATTAATAGTGTGAATTTGCTTATTAGTTTTAAAGCACACACTTCAATTACGTACGAACATGGCAAGATTAAAATATGATAGGTGTTGAAAAAAAATTCAAGTGTATATCCCCCCAAAAACATTCTGTGTCTTAGTCAGGATTCGACCTGTGAATAATATAACATTATCGTTGTCTCTCATCAAAACTGATCTTATGTTTCTGAATAAATAGCCGACAGAGTTAAGTTTCGAAATAACTAATGCACATATTAACATTTATGAGATTTATTCGAGAAATCAGTCTTCCTGGTCGAAAATTGAAATAAATATCAGAGTTCCTGAAGCACAAAACTGATACGAGGGATTTTTTTTGTGATTTGAAAACATTGTTCAGAGTAAGTGAATTTTCATTAGAGTTGATATTATGAAAACTATAGTTTCAAAAAATAAATTACACAATCACTGCCAGACTGCCATACAAAAGTAAAAAAGCTACACTTTTGTATTAAGTATCAAGAAAACAAAAGTGGGCCTAACTTATTTCTACGAGTGTACAGTCACAGTAAACTGCCTCTGGCAATATGGTTGATCAAAAATTATATAAAAGCTGTAGGACCTACCAAAAGCGTGCACCAAGAATGTGTTTCAACATACAGGGTGCCCAAACAATACAGAAAAGTACTTTTTTTCTGCACTTCCAAATTATTCAAACTTCGTTTCAAACTACTTGAATCAACAACAATACATGATTATTCACTCCATTTTATTTGAGAAAAACCACTGTATGCGCAAAGGAGTGTATTTATACAAGGAACCATACCAAAGAAACAAAACTCACCCAAATTTTTGAAATCTTGATCCAATAGTCTAGTTTTGATTTCGATCTTGTCTAAAATGGTTTGTAGAAGACTCATCTTTTCATCGCCCAATTCCTGAGCAGCAATTAGTGCTTGCTGCATCCTATAGAAAGTCTTCGCTTTCTTCGCGTGATTGTTGCTGCTGATATTTTTGAAGTTCTCTGTCTGCAAAGCAACGTCTCTCACCCTTGCTGGAAACGAGAGAAAACAATTTATGTATGGCTTTTTCACGGATTATGTCTGTGTTACTGTTCCCGAAATATATTAGTGAATGGTACAGGTAGCCTAACAATTTAAGAGGTTCTCAAAGATAGTGTATGCACACTGTGAAAAGCTTGTTTTTTGCGAAATGACCGAGTGAAATTTTCTGAAAAGTTTCTGAATATGTTGATGACCAATAAGGATACAAGGAAAATTCCATTTTTACATGAGAATTTGAGAATCACATGTGTCACCAAAAACGTGTTTAAACAGAAATTTTCCACAAACTTACATCCCTCTCACTGATTTGATAGATTACACTATCCTCCACTGATATACACATGAATAGAAAACCTTTATTTATGACTTGGCAACTATTCAACAAAGAGTTTCACTATGCAAACAACTTTCTAACTAAGATAAGGGAACACCCATATGTTGAATGAAAACTGATATGTTATGGACCACACGGTAAACTACTTGAATTTTTATTAATTCTACGATGAATTGGAGCTACTTTACCTATATAGTAAACATCCAGCTCTCTCATCCTGGAAATTAACCTTTGCAGCTCATCTGGAAGGTTTTCTACACAGTCAAGATAATTTTCCACGTAAGTGGCTGAATACACAGCTTCGATTGATACTTGGTTCAACATATCGACTACATTGAGAACTATTATTCAATGGTTTCAATAAAAATAAATTCCAAAAAATCCAGCACTAAAAAAACCAACTTCCATTTTGGATTGTTGCTTTGCTGAAGACGGATACTTTGTTATGGATAAAATATCAGATCTGAAATTTATTGTTCCATGTCATTTGAAATGTATTGTTTCATGATCATAGATAGGGGAAAACGTTCAAACTCTTTTGTATTATAAACAGTAAATTAAAGAAGAAAGTAATACAAATCATGGAATTATGAAACAACAAAAATTATTTGGCGCTGTGTGGCGACTTCATAGATTTCAGTGGCGCATTTGCTTTTTCAGCTGCATGAAAACCCGGAAAGACCTGCAGCCCACGTCATCTGAAGATCTTGATCTGCCAATATCCAATATATGCTTTCAATCCTTCAAAATTTAAAAATCAAATGATTGATTTGGTTCTCAGGTATTCTAAACAGTGAGCAAAATTTTAAAAGTATTACATGCTATACAGTAGTCGATGCAATGTGTGAATCTGTGAAAAGAAACATAAAATATTTGCACCAGCCTAGTTGAACGCCTGGGGGCAAGTAGAGATAATTTGGAAAGGAAATTAATGCTGATAATCGGTCCGTTGATAATTTCAAGTGGGAGTATTGAGTCTCTTTGTTTTCTGCGAATATATGTTCAATATACGTTCTAAAGCAACATAGTCATAGTATACACGCATCTTGAAGGCAATATACCACAGGTAATAATACTGTACAGCCTCAAGAACTGTGGAACAATAATCGAGATGATATTTAACCAGGGAAAAATAAAGAGATTTAATAGGAGTGCTGTTAGTAAAACGCAGGTGGTTCTCTCAATAGAGTCAAGCATCTACAACTGAGTGTGAAGTCTAGGTTCACACTCACTCAGATATTTGGTTTCAAAAGCAGAATGTAAGGTGAGATTATTTATACTATATTCGAAAGTGACTGGCTGATGTGTTCGATGAAAGCAAAGCATATGGCATTGATTATAAATGAGTGAAGCGAGATAATCGAGCTCTTTGATATGTATTTAATGAACACACATAATTCGTAAATATTCATCATGTGAATTGTGAAGTTCATCAGCCAGATGCGACATCTATCGGACTTATTGAAACGAAGTCATATGGTAAAACAAAAACAAAGTTACGTCAACTGTTTTCATATAGTGTTGTGAGAGTGTTGTGGTTTCTTGTGCTTTCCATAAGTGAAAGTAATTCGTTTCACCCATTCATACAAATTTGAGTAACAGTATTGTTCCGAGCAAGATCATTGCGCCCCCCGATGAAGCTCCTGTCGACCTTGACAGGAGAGTCCTGGCCATATGCGCCCGAGTGGGAAGCAACGGCCATTAATAATAGAGAAAGAGAAGTGAGAAGTAACCTAACTTTTTATACTAGGCATCTTGTGCGGTTTTTTAAAAAGTGTTGTTTTAATGAATTGTCCACACAACCTTAGGATATTTTTCTTTTCACAATCCTCGTAGAAGTTTTTGAGGCCATCACAAGATGTCTTCCCCTGTTTCGGCTTTTTCAGTGTACAAAAAACAGTCGTTTGGTACCAAAAAACATAAAACCAAAAACATTCCAAGTAATTCTCCCTCAGTAAAGAAAATTAAGAAAGACTTTGATATACCGTCACAGAATGGAAAAAACGATGTTCAAAAAGTAGTCAAAACTCCTAAAGGGACAGAGAAACATACAAAAATAAAAGATAAAACTAGTTTCAATGCCAGCAAACAAAGTTTTATGAAAATTGACAATGAAAAGATTTCAAAAGATTCTAATGGGAGAAAAAAAGGAATCAGAAGAATAAAGCCTATTAGGATCGAGAGTCCACGACAATCTTCAACAGAAGACGAAGAACAACCCCCTTTGTTGGTCCCCATAGACAAACCATTTCCGATCTCTTCAACAGATACCCAACTCGAAGATTCTACCGTAGCGGAGTACATTTCGCAGCTGAACAAAACCGACCCATCTCCAGACGGTCTCAAACTTTTCAAGTGGCTCATAGCCCCCGTATCTCCCGCCCAGTTCTTCGACAGATACTGGGAGAGTGAAGCGCTACACATCAGTCGCGAGACTCCAAACTACTTCAGTCACTTGCTGACTACCCAAAGACTGGACGATATTTTCAGGGAGTTTCCTCTGTACTACACGAGGAATGTTGATGTGGTTTCATATGAAAATGGCGTCAAAGAGGTACACAACGAAGAAGGTAGAGTTGTGGCATCAGGTTTGTACGATTACTACTCTAACGGGTGCAGCGTGAGGGTTCTCAACCCGCACACATATGACCAGAAAGTGCAGTTGTTGTTGTCGACCCTGCAGGAGTATTTCGGCACGATGGTGGGTGCTAACGTGTACCTGACGCCACCTGGCAGTCAGGGTTTTGCCCCTCATTATGATGATATTGAGGCTTTTGTTGTGCAGCTTGAAGGGAGGAAGCATTGGAAACTGTATAAGCCAAGGTTAGTTTTAGACACTTCACTTTTTCATCATGTTTCTATGTGAATGAGGGGCTGTTTAATATTTTTCGAAGTGAATTTGAAAAATTCATGAATTAAACTCAACTTCATTTTGTTCAAACTTGCATTTGTTGTAATAACCCAAGTTGAGGAACATTCCCCATCCTGGAAGTTAATTATGTATCACATGCTGATTTGGTAAATCGAAGATAGAAGCCCCAAAAAAATTATTTAAGGACAAAAGAGATAGAAATGTAAAAATAAAACAACAGAGTAGTTTGGAACCATATAATTGTTTTTTCCTCAATAACAAAAGTTATTTCGATATCTTCCACATTCCTTCACAAATATAATAAGACTATAAAACAAAATAAATGTCGAATCAATATAAAATTCAACGAAGGAGATGATTATCACGGCTCCGGCAATTCAATAACTGGCGCGGTAATAGTCCTCGCAGAATTACCATTTCGTGTAACTGTAATTTTTAATTGTAAATAAAGGTCTGGTACATGCAGAAGAGCATAACCTACTTACGAATTTGAGAGAGGGTGTAAAATTAAAAAAAAAAAAGGTTTATTTAATATACACTTTAGAATAATTTTCCGTTACTGATGATAACGGAGTGGGGAGGATCTACATTGACAGATATAAAAATTCGATTTTTAAAAAATTAAAAAAATTATTATAAAACTGCTACGCAGTGAAATGGGCCTCAAATTTTTCTTTTCCGCTTTTCAAAGTGATTTTTGATTTTTTCAACTTCCACGCCTTAATCTTAATTAATTTCATTAAATTTCTTGAGTCCAGAATTTGTTCATTTACTATCAACGAAATAATTCAAAATACATTTTTTTTATGCACAAATGAAAATTGTAAAATTATGAAACAATACTTCAAAGATGAAAAAACTTGAAAATTCTTATTTAGTTTCTTGTTTTTGAAATTTCGTTCAAAAACTTATAAAGTTTTCCCTCTTTTCATTTAATTTCCTATAAAACTGTAAATTTTCTTTTCTCCAACAAAATTATTCAAAATTAAAAATATTTTCAATTCTCAAGCAAAAATTCAAAACACTAATATTTAGATAATATTTCAAATGTNGAGGAGATCTCTCGTACGGAGCCGTTCCTGGCAGCAGCATCAGGTCACGTTTATGATTAACATGCATTGTCATCGGTTCTGGATCAGCATGCAAAATTTCAGGTCAATCGGATACCGGGAAGTGGGTCAAATTAAACTTGCAAGATTTGTTAACATACATACAAGTCAAGTTGAATAAAAGCTTTTAAAAATATCTATATGAAGCGAGCTTTACACTGGTCACTGTTTAATAATAATTTTCTACATTGGCCAACATTTTCTCCAGATTTGAACCTCATCTTGATTTTTCATTCCCGAGAAAAGAATGCATACAAGAAAAGTAATTATAATCAGATTTTCAACAGAGGTTTGTCTCTAAACTACGGTGAATATCAACGATCATAAATCTCAAGTTCAAACACGGCTGGTAACCGGGACACTGGGAAAAAGTAAGGTGTTAATAGCAGAAGATAAACACGAGCATCTAATTGTTTCCGAACCGCACCTAACGTCGGTGCAAGTCTAACGTAATGCTCGGGGACATGAAGTTTGTGAAAAGCAAAATTTACGAGGCTTTTACTTCCTCCGCCAAAACAGACTTTATGAACGACGAGGAACTTTTAGAAAAGTGCGGGAGTTGTTTTATGTCTCTTGGGTATCCAGCGATGTCTGTGTGCGGGATGATCTCTGTACCCGGAGAACCATTCGTTGTAAAAGCAAAAAGGCATATTTCGATGTCTTGTTTTTGGAATCGGTTATGCAGGACCGTGAGAGAGTGTGGAAATACAGTTGAAACGATAATATTCGTTAGCACTTTATTATTCTGTGGACATTTCTCAACTTCATTATCTGGCACTTTCAATTTTCCAGTATGCGGAACATTTGAGTATGTGAACAATTTGAGGTTAAAATTTATAGTCCGATCAGTGACGTTATAATATAGACTGACCGTTGAAGGGAGCCTAAAAAGTAGATGAAGAAATTCATGTCTTGGCATCTACGTCACTCATACACTCTACGAAGTTCGTAGGGTCAGCTAGTTATAATATAAAATTGACCTACTGTGAGATATGAAACGGTCTGAAAATCAAAGAACTTGTCAGAAATTCTTATTTGTCCAGCTACGATGCAAATAAAAGTTCTTTCAGTTTTAACGTAAACGCCAACTGTTTTTCCTTTCTTTTTCACTGCAGAAGAAAATGATACTATATAAAATTCACAGATTAAAGGGATGCAAAAGAAAGGAATTGAGAAGAAACGAAAAATACGCTGAAATGCAGAAGATGCAGAAAAAGTGAAGTGAATAATTCAGGATAAAACGATGTAAAAGATGCAGAAGAAGCAGAGAAGGATGCTGAAAAAAGTATTCAGAAGAAAAATGCAGACGAAAAGGATGCAGAATGATGAATACTTATTGTTGTTCATTATCACCCTGTGTATGATCTGATAACAGTCTCTTCAACTATATATTGATCCATAGGCGATTCCTAATTGACGCATTAATTACTGTGGCGGAATATATGATGGATAATTGCATATCGGCATTATGGATTTGTCATTTCACAAGTCTAAGGATGGTAAGTTCACCACCAATTAGAATTGGATGCCAGTAATCAGGAAGGATTCATCACTCATGTGCAAGATAGCGAATTTGTGTTTCAGTTCAAATTTCCTAGCGAAGGGTAATATGAGAATGGGTATTGGAAGTTTTTGAGAAAAAAGTTTTGGCGTTTTTGTTTCTCCAACATCAAACGTAAAATGTAGAAAATTATTTCTGTGTGAATCGTTAGTATTTTCTATTTTCAGTTTTGCCGACTGCATGGTTAAATATGGAGAAGAGAAGACTTTTTTGTACAACAATCGTTAAAAGTGACATTTTAATGGTTGTCAAGAGTATTAAAAGATGATGTTTACAAAGTAGCGTGTTGAAAAATATGTTCAACACAAATGTTAAGAGTATTTTAACGCTTGGTTGAATTTTTTCGACCAAATAGCAATAAACAAAACATAACTATACAATTTTCAAGGAAGTTTCATTATGAACAATAGATATAGATACAATTAAATTCTGTTAGAAATGTATT